ACACTTATTTTTCCAAGTAAACAAGAAATTAAAACAAATTGAAACATATGTTGCTGACTAAATCTATGGGTGGTTTCCCGTTGGACTTTTGTGCATTTGATTATTTTTCAATGTTGCTCAATTTCTCGAAATGATCTGGCAAAGTCTCGACTTTTGTTGTTGAATGAGTCGTCCACTCCGGTGATTTAAGTGGTATAGGGCTTCCAGATTTTAACTAAACTTGAACAAAATGACTTTATTTTGAAAGTCACTCAATACACATAATACGATCATTTTGGATTTTGAGGTGGGACGGTGCGCAGTAGAAAAAAGGTTTTTGAAAAATTGTATCGTGTCAGATCAACACACACTCTATCATACACACATGTTATTAGGTGACTAATTTCAGGAAAGCGCATTCATTTTGCCTCTGGTGTCAGACCGCTAAGGCAAGAACAAGAGACTCATAAAATTCATAGAATTTTTCTTTCTTTCTGTACAACTGTGTGTATGATTTTTTATGTGTCCTCAACTCTTGGATAAGTTGATGGTAGAGAAGTGTATGGTTATCTTCTCCTTTACCGAGTAAAGCAAAAACTGCCTGATAACCACAATTACCGTCCCCCACAATATTCATTGATGATCCATTCAATGTATTTATGCATAAAAACAGGCATCTCGTCCATGAATGAAATTTTTGGTGGAGGCGGCGTAAGAGGTGATTTTCTAATGCGAGCTCCTTTGATAACACTTTTTGAGATTTTGGAGTTGGCTGCTCAAAATTTTTTTTCGATCAACTGAGAATAAAGATTGTTGTCTTTAAATCTTTGTTCCAAAACTGTGATGCTCCCGACCAAATGATGTTTTTATCTCATTATGTTAATTTTGAATTATTGCTTCACGGAGTCCCAATCTCTACACGAATCGCCTTACCTTTTTCCAACCAATTTTTCAAAGTAGCATGGGCAAACTCAACTCTGTTAGTTGTTGTATTTCTAAGGTGTCTAACATTATCAGTCCAAGCACAAACAATTTTCTCCTTCACTTAGTCAAGAATTGTACTTTTAACATATTTCAACAAATCAAGATACTTTTCACACTTTCCTGAAATGCATAACGAAATTGACATATAATTCTTTTGTGGAAGAATTTATTATATGATTTCATGGATCCGTTATTTTTTTCACAACCACACAAATCTTCACCATTTTTTCATCTTCGGACTCTATTTGTTTTGTCCCTACCACAGGTTTAACCCGACTTCTCACATTCATTTTTTTGTAATACCTACAAATTAATGTATTAGAAGAAGGAAATAAATTTGCAGCCGAATTCATCAAGGCGATATCTGATAAATGCCAAATTGTGTTAAATATGTGTGTAGTTTGTGGTATTTATTAACTTGTTTCATTTGAATTTCTTAGATAAACCTCAACTTTTGTGTACATATTGTGTAGTTTGACCATTTGCAACTTATTTTATAGGTTTGTATGCATTGGGAGAGCTTTGAGTATCAAAGGACATGAGATTTTCTTCTAAATGCACTTTTTGAAGTTCCTGAGCGGGCTAAGTGCAATCATAGCGCGCTTTGAAAGGACTAGGCAGTGGGGAAGACATTTTTGAAGTTCCTGATTGGGCTTAGCACAACCAGAGTGTGCTTAGTGTGGTTTCTTCTTAGCCCCAGATTTTGTGCTTAGCGCAGTTTCTGCTTAGCCCCAAATTTTGTGCTTAACACGAATCCACTTTTCAGCCTTGTATATATTCATTTATTCTTAGATATTTTTGGTCTCTCAACCATTTTTCATATTCTCTTGGGACAACAAAACAAGAAACCCATTTTTGGGAGATAGGAGCTTGGAAAACAATAAGAGAGGGTGCACCTTGAAAATCAATTGGATTCTCTTCTATCGGCGGGACACTGCGATGGATGCTTATTCATCTTCATTCTTCTCTTTGTATTTAGATACCATGGGTAGCTAAATCCCTTTCTTGTTGGGATTGGATGTAATTTTACTGTTAAAGTATGTATTTTTGTTGATCATGGTGTTGTGTACAATCTATTTCATGAATCTATATTGATGTTATCATTATTTACTTGCTTTATATTTTGATTTGAATCGTGATTGAGAAATACTATTTAAATCTCGATCTTGGATAATCATTTGTTAGATTTTAAATGCTAGACATAAATTTAGATATATCATTCACAGTGAGTATCGAATCTTAATGCTCCATATTGTTTAATAGAGTGAGAGATCATCGATTAAACAATAGTGTAGAAATCACGACATCGGCTAGACATAGCGGTGTTGGTGGGCGATACGTGATGATATTGATGAATGTTTAGATTGTGCATAACTGATTGGTAGATTTACATATTTGATCGGTGGATGAAATTCAATCCTGACAAGTTCTCTCCTCTCTCCAAAATTTTATTTATTTATTCACGTGTTTTACATTCCGCATCTTTAAACTTTCAAGCACCCTCTGAATAATAAGCTTAAAAATGTAGAAACTGTTAAACAACATTTGATATCGCACCAATTCTTATAGATACGATAAAACAAATACTTACTTTTGATTGCTACCATACTGCAACAACAATATAGTAGTCGGTAACAATCACTTTAGGTATCTCACCTTGGTCATTCAACAGTGTCTGACACACTTATAAGGCCCAAGTAAAATTGTCCTCTTTTTCACTCTCAAGAAATGTAAACCCAACAGAATATGTCTTCTCAGTTGAGGTAACACCAACCATCTCTAATAATAGAAGTTTATGCTTATTGGTCTTGTAGGCTGAATAAAGTATGAACATAGTAGGAAATGTGTTGAACAACTTTATGAACTCATGATGAGTCCAAAATATATCTCTAATAGTAACTCCATCGTCGCACGTTCGATACCTAGACACGTGTTATCATCCAACAGTTTCAAGAGTTATTGCATTTCAGTTCTATCCCCCTTAAGCGCCTTGTTAGTTTGGTACTGAATATTTTACACTTGCTTGATATTTGATATATTTTCGTGTCTTTTTCGTTTCAATGTTGCAAGTATATTTTTCGTTTGAACCAAATTCAATGTCATGTCAACAACGCATTCCTTCTCTTCCAGTATGAGCCGACAACACTAGGATATCCGACTAATTTTTCACACAAATCATGGTTATGCAAACCACATATGACATTAAATCTCCAGTTTGTTTGCTAACATGTAACGACGCACCTTAAACGAACACTCACATTTTCTTGAACCGGTATCGTCTCTTTTAAAATTTCGGAGGAGTTATATATTTTCCGCTTCTTTCGCACATCATTGTCATAAAAGCACATCTTCTATCTGAACCATTATCAGACCTTCCAATAACCACACTAAATCCAAATTTAGAGGCCTCAATACGAATTCATTGAAACATTTGATCACGAGATTCAAACTCTTGCTCGTTTTTAAATTAGTTGCCAACATCTACCGCCTTCACAACAACGTCTTGGACATTCAGAGAAATAACTTGTTTTGGGAAAACATCAGGGTGTACCATATCTAATGAAAACAATTACAACATAAAAATATTATATAAGCGCCATTGCTGAAAACAAAGTTGGAAAATTAACACAAACAAGTTTCGAAAATACATTTTCAGAAAACTTCATACTCGTTCCTGAGATACATTTCCGGACACAACGCTCATTTTTTCATGCAAACTACAGGATTAATGTGAGCAATACAGTGTGAAATAAATGATTTTTTACTTGAAATTCTAACTTTTTTTACTCTCTTTGATGTGATGAACCACAAGATTGGCGATTTAAAGTGAAAAAATGAATTGAGAATGGTGAGGGTTTGTAGAGGAAAACAACAATGGCAATAATGATTGTGTAATCGTGCAACTATCTTTTATCAGGTTATTCCAGAGATGCATCTCCGAAAATATGCAAAAGTGACAAAATATTTAAAAATCTCGCCCAAACTTCCAGAGATGTGACTCCAAAATTTCTACTAAACTAATCAATTATGTATATATTTCTTAAAATATTTCAGAGATGTATACCCAAAATTTAAATTAAAAAAAAAAAAAAAAAACTCAAATTATAGGATGTCATTCAAAATGACCTGTGTGCTGAGTGTGTATTGGATACGCCAGAAATGCGAAAATCAAGAATATTTTAATTTTTTTTCGTGGTACGTAAGAAGCATGTATGAAATCCTCCTTCTTTTTTTTTATAATAAAATACCATACAATGCAAGTACTGTCTCTGGCCGCTGGCCAAGATGGCTCAATAAGAGCAATCTTCAAGTTCCCTTTTGGAGTCGAGTCAAACTTCAATTCAAATTCTAAGAATCGCAAATACTTTGTTTGCATCTGATATACGTTGCATCTAATGTGTCAGTAATCAATTTAATTCGATTAACTAATAGGAGTTAGTCACATAAACATTACTAATATGCATGCTCTTCTAGCAATCTATTGTAATTAGAATCAAATTTGCAGTTGTGCAATATTAAGAGAATTCCAATATATCTTTTCTTCTTTTCTTGTTTTTGGTTGATTTACTAAGGACCAAGACCCTCATTGAAACATTATTCTTCTCTAGTGCTACCTTCAACATCAATGTTAACAAAGTTTTTAATTCATCTCAGCAGAAGTGCAATTGTTGGAGAACCTATTAATCATTTCAAGTCTATATAAGGATTTAAGGAGACTTGGAATTTCCCACACATAAAAATGAAACCCAGAAACTAATCCAGACAACATAAACCGGTGGAATTTATAACATCAGATAACTGATTAATAGACTACCATGTAACTCAAGAACAAAGCTCTGATCATGTTTATTGGGCAAATACATCAGAGTGTAGAACAAATACAAAGGATGTCTATTTTGCAAAGCAACGCAAGCAACAAAGACAATTAATTACATATAATCTTTGCATAACCCATCCACAACATGGAAAGAAAGGTTGAAACCACAAAAAGACCATGGAATGCCAACATTGTTCTAGAGGCGTTTGCAAAAGAGGCACTACTCAAGCTTTACAGGCTCTCTCTTCGGAGGATCCAAATCCAAATAGGTAAATGGCTCAGTTGGTTCCTCGCTGCAATAGCAACAAAATTCACAAGCAGCCCAATGAAACATATGATATACAATAAGTAAATGGAAAACTTGTATGGAAAAAGCGAAGACAAGGTATGCAAATACAAGTGAAAAACTAAAAAATAGAATAGCCAATTTCAGTGTACATAAGCATCGCAAGCAGTATCCAAATTTTAACATGTTATTGTATTGTTAATGCATGCAATCTTGATAATGATAGCTTTCTTTTAGTTAACTGCTGCTTTATTCCACAACCAAAAAATTCAGTGGCAGAGTTCATAAACAATGATATTCCTAAGAGTAGATAAAATTGCAAGCTAGATAGTAATCTCACCCAGGTTTAGAACGCATGCACTGCCAGAAGAGCTTGAAAGGTCCTGGAACAGTCTTGAAAGGGTTTCCCTCAAAGCAAGCCTACACATTTCAAAACCCTTAGGACTTGAAGGTAAAAAGACCAAGTTTACTTTTAGATCCTATATTAAATAAATTTGGAAGCATGATGAAGTATAGAGAACAAGCTGAAATGACAACAGACCTCAAACCATGTATCCATCTATCTATTTTAAGAAAAAATATAACGCTAATGACATGTGACTGAAATTTACACCTTAGTTTTCTTGCCATTTTCTCATAATTCCGCACTCTTGCACAGGATCTTTACTTCTAGTTACTTCACTACAAGTCTAATCCGCTACGCTCTCCTTATTATGTATCGGAATTTGGGATGGCTGATACGATATGCCATCTCTGCTATTAGCAGTATAGCGACGACGCATTTGATATATTGGTTATGGCGGTAAGTAATGAATAGTGGAGTTACAGGTTTTAGCAGTGGCCAATCATTTTAAAAGATTACAAAACTACAAAATCTGAAGTGGTGAATAAATTATTTTAAACTGAAAAACTAAAAAAAGGTATAAATTTGAAGTGGTGAGTCAGTTAGTGGGTATTATAATACCTAAATCAATATAACTCACCAAGAGTACCTAGATTAGGACACAACTCATGGCTTCAAAAAGGAAAGAAAGAAAAGGTAACCACTGTGCCTCCATCATCAAGTAACCACAATGTTTTTCACTTAGTTCCTTCATCTCATTCACACAATGTATGCAACTATGCATCATATTGTTAGTTATTTAAAATATTGACATTTTGAGTCTTACGTATGCTACTTTTTCAATATGTTCATGCATTTTTTTATCTACGTGTGCAACATGCTTTATTTTATAGACAATTATATCTATATATATTTCAACCGCATTGGGGCTTCTTCTATTTACCCGTTACGTTGTTCGCTATTTCTCATATCGGATTTCAGGTGACTCTGTTTTCTACACTCCACTATTAATAACATTGATCTCACATTCCTCTCCATATACGTGTGTAATTACTTTCTACAGTAATTAAATTATTCATTTTCAGGTTTATTTATTTGGTGGTTTCTATGATGGTTAAAGTGTCTCATATCATGACATAAGACTGATGCCTGCCAATCTTCAAAACTCTAACAAAAATCAGCGCTGCTCCACGGAAGTAGAAACTCACGGAATTACTCGTCCTCACAATTGAGACATGATCCGATTGGTGGTGTTTGTTGAGTCAACACCGATCAGGTCACTGTCTCAACTATAAATACATGGACTACCGAGACTTCTACATAAGGCAGCAACATCGGTCATCTTCAAAATTTTGAGCTGTTTTCAAGAATTGATACACCTTACATCACATGTGAACACTTCCTTGCCTTATCAACTGCCTAATTATTTATCTTGGTTAATAAATCAACAATAGTTTTTCATTGTTACTCTATGCAACTGTAAAAGCTAGGTCATGGATTTCAATTTTCCTAAACCTCAAACACTACGATTAATTTCCAGAAAATTCAGCAAAAAAAAAAAAAGATACACGATCCTAGTAATGATATACACAAGAAATTTTGAATTGAAAGGAAACTGAGTGGAATAACGATTAGGAATGAAAACCTGGATAACATCTTCAACACGATCATTGCATCGATGAGCTTTAGGTTCAGGATGATTCTCTCCTGTTATCCCCCATGGACTCTCTCTCCGAGGAACTGGCCTTGTTTCACTCATCTTCTTCTTCTTCCTTCGCAACTCGTTCGTCAACTCAACTCGTTACTCACCTCTATTTTGATTGATTGCTGCACACAAAAAACGTCTGCAGATTTTTCTGATATTTTCTGCTGGGCCATTTCTCTGGCCCGCCCATTACACAAAAGCCCATGTTTTAATCAGATATTTTTTCATAACCCCGTTACTTGTTTTCGTACCCCTCATACATTTAAAAAAAAAAAATCCATTTTAAAGATATTAGGTAAAAATATTGCTTTAGTCCTTTAAGTTATTTTAAAATATCAAGTTAGTTCTTAAAAATTTTTTTTTTAACATTGTGGTCCTTTATGTTAAATAACGTTTGCGTCGTTGACCTTTATATAAATCTTTGTTATAATAAATTGCAAATTCATATACCATTTGAACTGGTTTTTCGCGTTGATCACAAATATGTAATTAAATTTGCGTTTGATTGTGTATTTTAGTCGGATCGAATGATTTTTCATTATGTATTTGTCCACTTTTTTCCCTGATTCTCATAAACGGTAACTTGTTTAATAAATTTGATTGCATATTCGTGATCAGCGCGAAAAAGCAGTTCAAATAGTATATGAGTTTGCAATTTATTGTAACGGAAATTTTAAAAAAGATCAACGACGCAAACGTTACTTAACATAAAGGATCAAAGTGTTAAAAAAATTTTTAAGGACTAACTTGATATTTTAAGATAACTTAAAGGACTTGAACAATATTTTTGCCAAGATATTATATTTATAACCATTATTAAGTTTGATAAAAAAAATGCAGTTTACAACAAATTTACGAAAGAAAAAATACTCTTGGTGGAAAGCAATTCAATAATATTTGAAGTTGAATGAACTAAAATTGACTTATATAAAATGTGTAGTTGAGTTTTGCTAAACATTTCTTTAAAATATAATAATTTTTTATCACCTATAACTTAAACTTAATAATGAATATGTTGTGTATTAATTCAAACTTAGTTAGTTAGTTATTACATGTGTATATATAATAATTATAGGTGTAATATATCCTTCATAATAATAATTTTCTCTTTTCATTCAATATTCATTACTCTCTCTTCTCTTCTCTTCGCATTCAATATTCATTACTCTCTCTTTTCTTCCCTTCCACTCCAACACTCTCTCTTTCTTTCTCTCAATCAACTTTTGCATTTGTAATGTATAATGACACCAACATATGGTATCACCAGACCAGTTCTGATCCATAATCAATTGTGATTGTAGCTATCTCTGCAAATCTTCTAGTTCTTGATGGCAATAATTAAGAAAAATGGTGCATTCATATGAGATTCATCTTCAATGTTCAAGGTGTGTCTGAGTACGCAGTAGAGGGACTTCAATCGCTATCAGAAAATGCGACTGATGCTTAGAAGGAAGCATACAAGGAATCTAAGAAGAAAGATTAGAAGGCCCTATTTTACATTCCCTAATGCGTTGAAGCGAAGATGTTTGATAAAATAGATCATGCTGCAACTTCGAAAGAAGCATGGGATATGCTGGAAAAATACTATGGTGAAGATGCCAAGATCAAGAAGGTGTGCCTCCAATCTTTGAGAAAGGAGTATGAAATGTTGCATATGAAAGAAGGCAAAACGATATTAGTTTTCTTCACAAGGGTTCAAGAATTAACCAATTAGATGAAGAGTTCTGGAGATACGTTGACAAAGCAAATGAAGGTTGAAAAGGTACTTTGATGTATCACTTCTTAATATGATATGATAATAGTAACAATTGAGGAAACCAAAGATCTTGAAATAATGAAGATGAAGGATTTTCAAGGATCTCTTGAAACTAGAGAACTGAGACTGAATCAAAGAGAGACATATAAAGATTTTGAACAAGCCCTGATTTCTCATTCAAGAAAAGGAGGTTCTGATGACATGAAGAGAAGGTGAAAGCAGGGAAAAGGAAAGCACCAGAGAGAAGCCACACTAGATAGAAAAGAGAAGAAGAAGCTTGAAGAAAGATCTTAATCCTCTAAAGGAGGAGGAGGATCTAACAATTTTCAAAACAAGAAAAAGTTTCAAGACAAGAGAAAGATTCAATGCTTTAATTGTGAGATGTGTGGTCATTTTACTTCAGATTACTGGTTTGGAAAGGGAAAGAAAAAGATTGGTGCAAAGGAAGCTAACATGGTGCAAGATGATTCAGATTTAGACCTTGTCATGTTGATGATAACTACATCTGAAGGGGCTCTAGCTTATAATTGTGTGGTACATAGAATCTGGTTGTTCTAACCACATGACTGGAGGTAGTTAACCGACTTTAACTCAGACAAGAATACAAGTGTGAAACTGGCAAATAGCATGAGCTTAATGATAGAAGGCATGAACAAGTTTGTCACATAAAGAAAGGAAGGCAAAACAACATTTATAGAAGATGTGTTATTTGTCCCTAGTATGCAATGTAATATAATGAGCATTGGCCAGTTGGTAGAGAAATGATTCTCAATAATCATGGAATGAGGCTCAATGAAGCTGTATGACAAAAAGAAAAAAGTGGTTTTGAAATCAACTCTGACCAAAAACAGAATCTGGAAGGCTAGTTTAAAGGCATCATAATCACATTATCTTTATTCATCAATTCCTGATGAAGAAAGACGACTTTGGCACAAAAGGCATGGGCATCTGAATTTTAGAACTCTAGGTAAGCTAAATACTATGAGTTTAGTAGAAGGATTGCCTAAGATAGTGACACCTGATAAAACATGTGACAATTGCATGCTTGTGAAGCAAAGTAGGTTACCTTTTGTGAAGCAACTGCTAATGAGAGTTAAACATGTACTGAATGTAGTTTCATCTGACATTTGTGGTCCTTTTGAAGCTTTTTCTTGTGGAGGAAGCAAGTACTTCATCTTATTTGTAAATGAATTCAGTAGAATGTTATGGGTGTACCTGATAAAGACTAAAGGAGAATCTTTAAAAATGTTCAAAAGGTTTAAGGCTATGGCTGAAAAACAGAGTGGATGACTAGTTAAGATACTCAGGACAAATGGAAGAGGGGAATACGATTCCCATGAATTCAAGCAATTTTGTCATGAAAGTCACATCTTGCACGAAGTAACTCCCCTTACACACCGCAACACAATGGTATTGCTGAAAGAAGGAATAAAAGCTTAGTTGAAATGGCTAGGAGCATGCTGAAATAAAAGTTATGGGGTGAAACAGTGTCTACTGCTGCTTATGTACTAATTAAATGTCCTACCAAGAATTTAAAGAATCGGTGGAAGTCATATATTCCCCATAAAGTTTTAAGGTAATAGAAGTCTTAATATGCTATCTCAACATGTTTCCCCATTTGTAGCATAAGTTAACTTTATTTATTGGGTTGTTCCTTTGATCGTGTGGTTACCAAGATTGAAGGCAGTCTCCCCAGTATCCTCTATACCATGCAATTTTTTATAGTGTGAAGATCCATCCTCGATGGAGCCATCTGGTGTCTCTACTGGAGCTACACGACCATTTCTAGCAAGATTGCTTGAGCTCTATATTTCCCATGTGGAATGGGTTTATTTCCCAGTGGACCTTTGGACACCTTGTTTCCTTGAACTCAGCGTGATTCCTTGTTTCCCCAGCGAAGTAGATATGTGATCAGTCACAATTTCTATGTTGTTTCCCGCACTTATTCGACATCTAATCCACGAATCGATAATGTTTATGTTAGTCTTTTTACTGCTTTTGAGTGATATTTACTATTTTAATGTTTTTCTCGAGTTTTATGTTTTTCTAGTGATTTTGTTACATTTAGTGCATTTTACGCGTTTGGTAGTGGTCTTGATGTTTTCAGGTCCATAGAGAGAAAGGCAAAAGACTCGGGCAAATAAATAGGAGATTTGAGAAAAGTCAGAGTAGTTTTTCAAACAATCTAGTGGTCTGACACTACCATCCGTGTTAGGAGACGATCCTTGAGGTTGTGTTAGAGAAGAGAGCTAGGGGCTGACATGGGTGCCCATGTCAGTAAGTCTGGTACATAGGAGTTTTGGACCATAAGAACAAGGAGCCTACACGGCTGCCCGTGTCAGCTGACATGACCTGTGTTGGCTTCGGCGTGTTGTTGTACCCCAAAATTTGACCAACCTCTTTTCTTAAATCTTTGGCTTATGTTTCATTGCATTTTAGCATCTTGCATTTGCATAACATATTTCTTACAAGGGATCAAGTGATTGTTTGTGTACCATCCAAGAGGAGAGGTTTTATTGGCTTCAAGCTCAAACAAGGGTATGGGTACAAGTCATCAAGTGGGTGCTATTGTCATGAAGTCATCAGAGCTCCTAGAGAGGAGAGGTGTGCCACAAATCATTATCAAAGAACCATCAGAGGATTGTTTGGGGATCCATTAGGTTTCATCATTGGTAGAGGCATGAGGTAGAAGCTTGTTGAGTACCTCAGAGGTCATGGTGGAGTTGGAGTGGTCACTCAGTTTATCTAAGCAATGCCTAGGCAAAAAAGGTGAAATTAGGGTTCCACTTTTAATCAAGATACATTTGTTTTTGGGAGCAATACTTGTTTCCATGGTCTTCCATATGTCCTAAGGTGTTTGAGGATGGGAGATTGATCATCAATTTTAATCAGAAGAGCTTCAATTGATCAGTCAATTGAAAATCAGGAGATTGGGAGAAAAAGTCAACTATGTAGTGAAAAAGTCAACTCCTGACTTTTTGAGGTCAAAATCATGTTCCTCAAGTCCAATATGACCAATGGATAGAATTTGATCAAGAAAAGTCAAGGGAATCATGAAAATCAAGAAAGGTTGAAAGTTGCCATTTTGAGAAATTAGGGTTTTAGAAACCTTCTATTTTTGGAAAGTTTTATGGTTGAAGCAGCCGTCTTTAAGGCCATTTTGCTTCATGATCAAGGTTTCAAATGGACTGGGATCAAATATCAAAGTTGTTCCTTGTATTTCAAGCTTTCCTTTGAGTACCAATTCATCATCATATGATACTTCGAGCTCAAGTTATGATCATTCAAAGTTGGGGAT